TTGCATTATCTTTGCGTAATATTAAAATTGGTTTGATGATCTGAATCTTTTAAGTGTGACAAATATGCAAAAAAATATAAAAAAAAACAGGAAGGGGGCAAAAACCTTTCAATACCTTTCAAACCTTGCAATTCAATAATGCATTCAAAAATAGTGTATTGTGAACTTTTTTCATTTAAAAGTACTGCTATATGAACAAAAGTGAAGAGAACCCAATCAAACAAATGAGACAAAAATATTTTCTTTGTAATTTATTTATTGAGAAAAATTATCCAGTGTTACATATCTGTGCGGGGCAAAAGTATGTGAATCTTTGCTTTCAGTATCTGGTCTGACCCCCTTTTGCAGCAATAACTGCAGGTAAATGTCTCTTGTAACTGCTGATCGGCTTGTAGGAATTCTAGCCCCTTCCTCAGAACAGAACCACTTCAACTCTGTGATGTTGGTGGGTTTCCTCCTATGAACTGCTTGCTTCAGCTCCTTCCACAACATTTCAATTGGATTAAGGTCCGGACTTTGACTCAGTCATTCCAAAACATTAGCTTTCTTCTTCTTTAACCATTCTTTGGTAACATAACTTGTGTGCTTGGGGTCGTTGTCTTGCTGCGTGGCCCACTTTCTCTTGAGACTCAGTTCTCGGACAGATGTCCTGACATTTTCCTTTAGAACTTGCTGGTATAATTCAGAATTCATTGTTCCCTCAATGATGGCAAGCCGTCCTGGACCAAATGCAGCAAAACAGGCCCAAACCATGATACTACCACCATGTGAGAAAGGTCTTTAGTTGCTTAGAAGTTAGCATGCAGTCCTTTGAAACCTAGTGGACTTTTACACGCCTTGCTTTTAGAGTGTTCTTTGTGGGTGGAGCACTCCTGGGGAGTGTAACAGTGGTCTTGAATTTGTACACAATCTGTCTGACTGTGGATTTGTGGAGTCCAAACTCTTTAGAAATGGTTTTAATGGTTTTGTGAGCAACAGCAACTCTTTTTTTGAGGTCCTCGGAGATCTCCTTTGTTTGTGCCATGATACTCTTCCATTAACATGATCAGACTTTGATAGATCACACTTGGTTAGCTTG